GTTAATTTGAAATAACACCCAGATTTGATTAGTATTCTCTTTTCTTTTGTCCTTCAGTGGAACTTCAAGGAGGGTAGGTAGTATTGGTCAGAAGACTCAAAAGTAGGCATCAGAACATCAGTGTTTAACATCACCACTGATCTGATTGCAGAATCCCAGACAGCCATACCTAACAGCCTCCAGCACAAACTGGGAGTGATGGTGCATGCCTGTCTGTAGTCCCAGCTACTCAGAAGGCTGGTTTGAGATCAGCCTGGGCAACACAGACACACCCCATCCTAAAACAAACAAAACAAACCTCCAAAAACAAAAGATTCTAACAAGGCTTCCAGTGTCCACATTTAATTGTATATAAAGCTTCCTTTTCTCCACCTACCAAGAGAAGCTTCTTCCTTGGTTCCCAGACTGCTTTTTCATTAGCTTAAAAAAATTAGTTTTTTCTAGTCTTTGTAGAGTTTGTATATTTAAATATTTCTATTATTCACCAGAATTATGAACATTTTTTTGAAATACTTTTTCTTTAATTGTAGATGGGCACAGTATATTTATTTTTATGTGGTACTGAGGATCGAACCCAGTGCCTCACATGTGCCAGTTGAGCGCTCTACTACTGAGCCCCAGCCCCAACCCTAAATATGCACATTTTAAGCATAGTTGAAATTTGCTACCCCAACCATAAAATTAAAAAAAAAAAATTTTTTTGTAGATTCACATCTAGTTGTAAGAAATAATGTAGAGATCCTGTATACCCTCTACCCAGTTTCCCAAACGAAAACATGTATAACTGTAATGTGTTGTCACAACCAGGAAGTAAACATGGCTCTTCTTATTTTTTAAGAAGAGGTTATAGATTGCCTCATCCTTACACTCCTGTGGGGATATTATGTGGCTACACTAAGTGATGACCACACTGAAACAAGAGAAGAACAAGGCTTCATGATAACCTGACAGTGGTCTGATTTTTTTTTTTTTAATTCAGAGCTATCTGAGCTAGTGGATTTAGCAGAATAGCAATGTCCACATTTAATTATGCATAAAGTTTTTTTCTCTCAACCTTAAGTAATTTTCCTCCCAAAACTAAGTGTGGTGGAGGTGAGGTGGCAGATCTGAGTCATTTGCTCTCCCTTGTCTTCCCTTTCAACCATACCAACACTAGTTTTATCTTCTTATTATTTTCTTGAAAGAGGAAAATGAATGTTTATATCACTGAATTAGTTCAAGTGGCTTTATTAAATCTGCAGACATGAAGCTTAGTAGATGAGAATATACCCACACCAGTCATCAAAGGTATATTGCTGTCCTTCCATATTCTCTGAGGGTTTAATTTAGAAGAAAAATGTACAAAAATATATACTGAAAGGAAACAATGTACTATAGCAAAATATGCCTACTACAAAACAGCTTCTATAAGTAATTAAATAGAAAGAAATATCCTAACATCTATGTCTTCTTTTGCCAGTTTTAGTTGATAAAGACCAGAGTCCAAAATGGAAACCAGCTAATCTAAAAGAAGTTACTGATGAAGATTTGGACAATTATTTTAAATCTCTGGGAAGCAATGATTTGAAATTTTGAGGTGACTGTTACTTTTAAAATTTATTTTGTAGCAGAGGTTGACAACTAAACACAGAAGCCCAGTCTGGCCTGCTGCCTCATTTTATGTAGTCTACAAACTAGAAGTGGTATCTTCAATTTTGAAGGGTTGGGAAAGGAAATAAAAAATTAATATTTCATGACTTCTGAAAATTACATGAAGTTCATGAGTGTCTACAAATAAAGTTTGATTGGAATATCACTGTGTTCATCTGCACGTATCATCCATGGCTGCTTTGATGTGAGTAGTTGCAGCAGAGATTGTATGGCTTGCAAAGCCTAAACTATTCACTCTCTGATCCTTGTCAGAAAAAGCTTACCAACCCCCGTTTTTCTGAGGATGGGACAATTCAAAGATCTCTTGAGATTCTCAAGTTATTATATCTATTTGAAATGGGAAATTTGGCTTTCAGTAAGTAGTGATTTATGTTTTGGCTAAACAAACTTAGGTGTGGATTATAAAAAATAAAGACCCTGATATTTTTTTGAGGATTCTGTGGTAATGCATCATAGAATTTCCTTTATGAGTGTATTTTGCAGTAACTGGGTTACTATAGCATAAGAGTTCCTTTTGTATATATTAGAAATCTTGGTCAAAAAGAAAAAGTTCTCATGAGGTTCTCTCTCCAGTATTTTAACTCAGCTTTGGTCTTCCCTAAAATAATTAGAATATCTTCCCATGGGTGAAAATGAAGGCATTATTTTTTACTTACAATATTTTCTAATTTGGCAGAATAAGGACCCCCAGTCTCTAAGACAGAGATGCTCTACTTTTTATTATTTAAACTTTTGTGTGATAATAGTTAAAAGTAGTTTAAAATATAAGTATCTTCAATAATTGGTACTATTGACAAAATAAGTGTTTTTTAAGGTATGTAAGGCTTTAAAGTTCTAGTTAAGAATAATTTTTAAATTAAAGGTCAGTTTATCATTTATTTGGTAACTTGTTCTAGTTTTTCCTTAATTCCACATCCCTCAGAAACTAAAAAAATTTCAGGTGTGTAAGAACAAAAACATAGAAAGACATCAAAGATTATGGATTATACCCTTCTTATGAGATTTGAAGCCCAGAAGGTATTGCTCAGTTCTTAATCTATTTGACATGGTTTCTTCCAAAAAATTCAGGAACAGATCTGAAATAAAAATGTCATGATATTGGATATTTATATTCATATCTTTAAAGCTTCTAAATTGAACCCAAATGATTCAAGAAATTATTTGTATAAGTGGATTTTTATTCACTTTACACTTGTTAGCAATACAGAAAATGTTGTCTTTTATGTTAAAAAATGTCAAAGTATACAGCATTGAAAAGATTTTCCTTCAATTAAATAAGAACTTATAGCTATGTAATTGCAACTGGACTTTTATTGTATAGTTACCAAAAAAAAAAAAAAAGTTTTCACAAAAGTATTTGGAAAAAAATATACCACTTTATAACTAATTCTTACAGGGAAGAGAATTTGTTAACAAAACTTGGGTTTTGTAAATTAAAGTGCAGGTAGTACTCCTAAAGGCATGGCTTATTTGTTTATGTAAAGACAGGATGAGGGCATTATGATTAAACCAGGAATTTGTTAGAACTTTTCTTTGTTTTGGGAGGTGCTGAGGGTTGAACTCAGGGGCTTGTGCATGCGAGTCATGCTGCTCTACCACTGAGCTACATTCCCAGCCATTTTATTTTCTTTTAAGACAGAATCTCACTAGGTTCCCAGACTAGCTTCAAACTTGAGGTCTTCCTGCCTCAACCTTCCATGTGACTGGAATTATAGGTGTGTAACACCACAGCCAGCAAAATTTTATTTTTACTGTTTCTTGACATTACTTAAATGCGTCTGTAACTTTTGATTTCTACCATGTGTAATGCAAATGTACACTTCCACACCATCTCAGAATACCAATGATTTTTGAGTAGGATGTATGAGTACCATGCTATTTTTATCATACTATAGTATTAAGGCGGTTTGATATAAATTATTCCTTTGGGATTAAGATGATAATCATTTTTGTCGCCTTCAATATGCCTTAAGTGCTGATAACCACAGGCAGTTTGCAACAAACTGATAAAGCAACTCAAAGTGGAGAATTCTAGGTCCAAAGGCATGAAAGTTAACGGTATGTAAGAGACAATTGGGAAAGCAGCAGTGGGGCACATTGTGGGGTTGTGTGACTCTGTAAATAAGGGATTGGTGTGCTTGTTTTCTAATGATCAGCCTCCACAGTTGCCACCTGGAGGGTCTTTGTTGTGCTGGTAAGTGTGCATGGGCCCTTACACCACTAATGCTCCAAATATGTCCTTTTCCAGTAGCTAATAATTCTCTCCAGTATTCCACTTTATAGGTCTCCTCCTTTCTCAGTTGCCCTATTTTTTATGAAAAAAATAAAGTAAAGCCCGTGTTTCAATATGAATGTATGAAGAAGGCAAAATTTTACCAAAACTGTTCTTGTCATCAAGGCCAAACTCTTACTAATTGTCACATGCACTATAAATTGTTTACTTAGCTATCTTCCCATCTGGTTTATCCACTAACTCACTGATTATGTAAGCCCGTGGCTCCTTGTTCATGGGTTGACATATAATACAGCAGCTTTTAGATAACTCTTAGATGATATATACATCATACTCTATGGAAATAAAACTCAGGGCAGGGGTGGTGCTCAATGATAAAATTTTACCACCATAGTGCTGAGAGAGGGTGACAACAGAGATCAGACTTCTAGCTAGATATGGATCTTTCGGAGATTCCTATTACACTCTGGGAAACAGGGGCAGAAGGCAAAGAAGGAACCTGAAGTTAAAATATTTAGTTAGACCCAAACCCCACTAGTCTATGTCCCCTATGTATACTGAAAAATTTAGTGACATAGCTTTGTATGGCTTTGTGTTCTTACCACAATATTATAGTATAGATTTAATTTATATCTTTCCAATAGCAAATGACCTTGCAGCAAAAGCATCCTTAGTAATATATAAAACAGAAAACATCCTCATCTAGGTTTTTGTCTGTGTCATTAGTATAAAATCAAAAAACCTCAAAATTTTCTTCATGAGCTACAAATGTACTTTGTATTTAAAAACTTTTTGTCGGACTACGACTTCAGGTCTTTCTATGAGGAGGATTGGTTGCTTTTCTATTATACAAATTAATTACAAGTTGAATAATCAGGCATCCCAAAACCACTGAAATTTGGGACATCACTTCATATCCCTTCCTGTGCTCATGTAACTTGAAGAATTCACTGATTCAATTTTTGGTTTCAAAATATTGCTTTAAGTTAGAGGTGTAGCTTTCTGCCTGCATACAAAGCCAAATATACATTGATCTTGAAGTCACAAGCCTTCTTCTACCTCCTTTAGATTTCAGTGACATTGGTGTATCTTAATAAAAGGATTTTTCTTTCTAATTTAATTAAACTATGTAGCAAATATTAATAGATAATTCTACAGACTCAGTCCCATTTTTCCTAAAAGTTTTGTCTTCTCAGTATCTTCCTCCCCGTCTCCCAAATCATGTTACCATTGATCTTCAGTTATGTAATGTTTTTTTTTTCTCTAAAGTGTGTACGTGATAACAGTAAAAAGAGAAAAAAGCCTAATTTATGAAAATCGCATAGTGTATGGCTAAAAATGCCCAATGGGCACATATTACTACTAAAAAACAAGTACTGCTTCTTGGAGGAATGTGTTATTTTGTTCTGTAACACAACTGTAAATCCTCATGCATTATTTGGTCCCACGTAAACTGAATGGAGTTGCTCTACTGGTCAGTAAAAGTCTGGGAATAAGTGCCACCTGTACCCACATCTGCATCTCTGAAACAAAGGTTAACACACAATTAATACCAGGTTTTGCTTTCTACCTTACTGACTTGGCTTCTGTTATTTTAAAGATTTACTGGATTGTTGTTTGTAAAAGGAACCTAGGACTTCTTAATACAATGCAATAAACATTAATGTCATGGCTTCTAAAAATTATATCTTTAAAGATGGCTTTACACATAGTCTGACTCATTCAATAACAGTTGTAGTTAGGGCCCTGAGGTTCAAGGTGGTAGTTATGCTTTTCATCTACAAAAATATATTAAGAACAGGGTTCAAGGTGGAACTTTTCTACACAGGTTGTATTCTAATCTTAGGTCATAGGTGTTGAGAAGTGGGGATCCTTGACAAATGGTTTTGGCAAACGATCCACAATGAATCACTATGATCTGAGTGCCACTCCCTTGCCAAGGCATTATGGGGAAAAACCTTTTCACATCTGGGCTTTTTTTTTTTTTTTTTTGGTATAAATTAACAGACATGGTTATTTTAAAGAAGTGACTTTAACCATTTAGAACCTGGGATACTTTTAGCATTTTCTTTGGTGGTGCCATTATGCCTCAGGAAGAAAGTGGTGTGACCTCCAGATGATTACTGGGTGCCACAGGACCTCGTTTGGCCCTTGTATAACCAAACTTCAAAAACCAGCAGGTAGAAATTACTGTTAACACAGAACTGCTTAAAACACATTTCATCTTAGGTTTTCCTACACCAGTGACATTATCATAGACAAGTTTCTACATCCAGATGGAGTTATTTGTACTTATATGCACACCAGCGTTTGCTTCTGTTTCATGTATTTAAACTAGCACCAACTATATCCACAGGTCAACAAAGTTGTCATCCTACAGCATCAAGGCCCTCGCTGTCACTCTCAATGTATGGGATGTCATAGTACTTGATGTTATTGCGTGCCCACTGCTGCAGGGCATCATGCAAAATTTCCTGGGATAAATGGTGTGCATATTCAAGCACCACAATGTTGGGCACTGGGGGTTTCTTCACTTCCTCATTGACATGAACTGGAGAAGGCATCCTAGGTAGAAATTCGTGTTCTGGCATAAAGGTTTCTTCATTCTCATCTTGCTTCTCTGGTGCAAATGTGGTAGGAAATGGAAAAGTTTGCTTTGATTTCATGCAGCCCATGTTGTAGAGGTGTTATGACTGAGTGAAGGAGAGCAGCAGCAAGACTACTTCAGCAGCATTTTGGGAAGACAGTGAAGGTCTGTCCACCACAAGATGTGGCCCAGTGCTTTCTCTCGCCAGGCCACTTGGTAATCAGTGCTCCCTTTCACCACTCTTCACTCGTAGTGTTTATCTGTCAAGAGAAGGGAGTTTTCAGTTGTTGATGGATTTTAATTTATTTATTTATAGTAGTGCTGAGGATTGAACCCAGTGCCTCACACATGCTAGGCAAGCGCTCTACCACTGAGCCCCAGCCCCAAGAGAAGGGAGTTTTCATTTTTATTCATAGAATGCAAAATAATGTAAGATTCATTGACATATTGGTACCCTGTAAAAATTCTTTTCACCAATTTGGTCCCTTGGAGGAAATGTGAAGTAACAACAAATAGCTTTATCTTATCAACTGAAGGGAAAAGAAATCAACAAAAATGGCAATTTATAAAACAGGAAAACGTTTTTTCAAGCTTTTGAAAATTTTATAAAACTAAAAATATTTAAACTCATAACAGCAATATAGCTCCTGGATCAAATTCTAGACACCTATTATCAGAATGCAGCCCTGCTCATTTGTTTTATGTATTATTGCTGCTTGATTTCATGCTATGATGGCAGGATTGAATACTTGTGACAGAGTGTGGCCTGCAAAGCCTAAAATATTTATTACCTAGCCCTTTACAGAAAGCATGTGCCAACCTCTGATCTTTCTTTGTCAAGGGAAATAAACATATCAAAGTCTAATTTTGTTGTGAACTTACAAACCTGCATATCTTGGACCACTATTAGTCAGGCTTTGTTCCCTGGTCAGGTATTCACAACTCAGTGGTCCTTATACTAGGGCCAATCAAACAACACAGGTTAGACACAGCAAAGCCAGTTTTTTTAAATGAATTAAATGTCTCTATGAGATTATATGTAAAGCTTTTTATTTAAAATAGGTGTAAAGGTTTCTCCTAAGTATCCTACCCTTACCTGATGTTTGGACAGTAAGTAGGCAACAATGCTTCTGTACTCCCCAAGTAGGTGCTGTCACTGGATAACTTCTCTTAAGTTAGAACTTCATGATAACTAAAACAACACTGAACAGCTTCACTGTAGAGAGAACCAGACATGTGAGAGCACAGGAAAGTCTCTATGGATGAGGTTAACTGTTCCCAGTTCTTTTTAATTTTAGGACTCAAGACAATTCAGTTGAGTGTTTCTGATACAAGTGATCCCTAAAAGGCAAAAGCTAGCATATGCCTAATTTGCTTTTCTAACTAAGTGTATAAAAAATAACCTTTACCATGTTTATTGCTATATACTTTTTTGGCTTTCTATGAATTCTACCCAATTTTCTCATTATATCTATTCCTGATAAGGATGATATACTGGTAAAGGGTCCTTCTGCTTTTAATTACCTTTAGTTCTATATTATACCCTGCTTCCTGCTCAATTTCAGAGATGTATTTCAATGGGGAAGAAAGAACATGTGTGATATCTGCTTTGTTTACTGGACTGAACTGCTTGAAGAGAACTGTCTTGGTTCTTCATCTCCAGCATGTATCTATTTTGTACTGTGAGGAACAGTTCAGGGACCCAGACATGGTTAACATGAAAAAGTTTACTTAGAAAACTCAATGGGTTTCATAAATAAAAGGCTGTGCGTAGAATCATCAGATTATCCTGTGTATTCTAGGATCTTTGGTTTTGTATAAGCAGCTTTTTCTTGCCAATACAGAGTAACTAGTACCAGATTTGCCCTCTCACCTGGACAAAATACAGGTATTTTCAGACAATGAAGAGCAGGTATTTTCAGACAATGAAGGAAAAGCTGCTCAGTACTGTAATTCCTTGAGGAAAGGAGGACACAAGACATTTAATCCCATAATTGAACATCCTAGGGTTTTACTTGGGAGTATCTTCCTTAGAATTATCACAGAGAAGTTGAGCCCAAAGACAGACAGTGTTAATTCTACTGAGCTGAGGAAGCAGAGGTTTGGGTTACTGAAGCATCAAATTTATAAGACAGAGTTTATAAGAACCCTAGGAAAGGCAGAAATTTGCTAAAGGACTCATCAAGGATAAGGGCTGGGATGTGTATATGTAGGAAAATGATCTGCAGGGCCTAGTAAGAGATCGCCTGCTCTGGGACTTCGGAGTTGAACAGTGATACCAGATGTTCTACAGTACTGGGAATCCTTGGAGTTGGAGAGCACCCAAAGTGGAGAGACCCCATCGAACATTTGAGGCTTTAATTACTGCCCAGGAAATGTGATGCCTTAGGAATCAGGGGTATACCCTAGGAACAGGGGTTGGCAAAGGTTTTTGTAAAGAGATAGATAGTATATGACAGGCTTGTGAGCTATATTGCTATAATCTGAATATCCTCCCCAATTTATATGCTAAAACCTAATCCTCAAGTGATAGTATTTGGAAGTGGTGTCTCTGGGAATTAATATTAGGGCATCAGTGCCCTTATAAAAGAGGCCCCAGGAGCTTCCTTGCCCTCACTGTGAAGAAAAAAGGCACCATCTGTGAACCAGGAAGCCAGCCTTCAACAGACAAAATCTGAGTATACTTCCCAGTCTCCAGAACTATGAGAAAAAAGTTTGTTGTTTCTAACCACCCAGTCTATGGTATTTTGTTATAGCAGCATGAACAGATCGAGACAAAGTATATCACAAGGACTCATCTCTACTACTGCACAAAAGCAGCCACAGAAATACATAAATGAATGGGTATGCGATAAAACTTCATTTGCAAAAATAGCTAACCATAGACCATGTCAGTAAGTTCAACAGAAATAATCTCACTCTAACAAAGACTAAAAATATTTATAGAAAAATGACATAATACAGACTCCATACAAAGTATTATTTGCGATGTAAATAATTAAATGCAAAAAAGCAGGAAAATGTAACCCACCATCAAAAAAAAAAAAAGCTGTTAGAAACAGACCCCCAAATGGCCCAGAATTTTTAATTAATAGAGCTTCATAGAACTTACTAGAAACTTTAAAAAGTTAAGTATATAAGTATATTCAAGGACATGAAGGAAAGAAAATAGAAACTCAAAACCTAAAATATACAATATCTGAAGTGAAAAATTCATTGTATGGGCTATTAGATGTTGCAAGAGATTAGTGAAGTTAATAAATAAATGTGTATACACACATATACAGATAATCTGAAAACTTGGGGGGGGGGGATTTTAAAACTGAACAGAGCAAAAAAGATAACGCACTAAAAGGATAATGTAAGTATGACCTTAAAGCAGTGGAGAATGAGTATGTTTAATCCAGAAGAAGACAGGAAAGGGGGGAACATTGGAAGAAAATGGAGCAATTAAAAAACAAGATGACTAACTTCCACAAAAAATATACTGTTTGAAAGGGGAATGGACTAAAAATTCCAATTAAAAAGCAGATGTGATCACGTTAGTTAAACAGGATCCAGACCATTCAGATATGGTCAACAGATCCAAGGCCATACATTGAAGAAAGCATAGTCTTATGATCAAATAATGTGAGAACTGAGTATCCACATTAAAGAAATAAAAAACTGGACAGATAGCCTTCACAAAAATTAACTCAAAGTGTTTCCTAGACCAAAATACAAAATGTAAAACTGTAACACTCCTAGAAAACAACATAGGGGAAAACCTATATATAACCTTGGGTTATATAATAAGTTTGACTTTGCTAGAATATGAACTCTGCTCTTCATAATACATTGTCAAGAAAATATGAAGACAAGCCACAGACGGAGAAAACATTGTAAAATTATATTTGATAAAGAATTGTTATACAGAGTAACCCAACAAGAATATGAACAACCTAATTTAAATTGGGCAAAAGATCTGAGGAAGACATGAAAAATAAACAAGAAAAAAAACATTCACCATCATATGCCACTAGGGAATTGCGAATTAAAACAAAGAGTGATACACTACTACAACCTGTTAGAATGAAGAAAATCCAACACACCAAATGCTAGTGATGATGTGGAACAACAGAGCTCACATTCATTGCTGGTAAGAAGGCAAAAATGGTACAGTCACTTTGGAAGATAGTTCAGCAGTTTCTCACATAACTAAACATACTCTTACTACATGATCTAGCAATTGCTCTTCTTGGTATTTACCAAAGGAAACTTGTGTCCATCTACATGCAGATTTCTTTATTCAAATTTCTAAAACTTAAGAGCAACCAAGACACCCTTCAGTTGGTGAATGAATAAACTGTGGTGTATCTAGATAATGAAAAATACTCAGCTTTAAAAAGGGATAAATAATTAAGTCATGAAAAGAAGAAACCTTAAGTACATATTACAAGGTTTAAAAGGCCACCCTGAAAGAACTACTAATGATTCCAACTATATGAGAAATAAGGCAAAACTACAGACAGTAAAAAGACCGTGAGTTAGGAGGGTGGAATGGATAGATTCAGTGTAGATGATTTCTGGGGCAGAGAAACTATTCTACATGATACTATAATGATGGATACATGCTGTTATATGTTTGTCAAAATACATGAACTCTGCAAAACCAAAAGTGAACCTTAATAAAGTATGACTTAGGGTGAATGTGATGTGTCAATATAGGTTCATCAATTAAATGTACCGCTCTGATGGGGGATGCTAATGGTGTGCACTTGGTGGATACATAAAGTTCAGTTTCTCTGGGGGCCTAAAACTGCTCTTAAAAAAAAAAAATCAGCTTTTGGGGGCTAGGGCTCAGTGATAGAGCGCTTGCCTAGCATGTGTGAGGCACATGGTTCCATCCTCAGAACCACATAAAAATAAATAAAATAAAGACATGCTGTTTATCTACAACTACCAAAAAAATTTTTTTAAAGTCAACTTTAAAAACAAACCATGTGCTCTCTATAAGAGGTGTACTTTAAATATAAATATGTACAGAACTAATAGCTTCAAAATACATGAAGAACTAAAAACTGATAGAATTAAAGTAGAAACCCCAGCACAATTGGATTTAAACATTGCTCAGTCAGCAAATGATAGAGTATCCAAAGAATACAGGTTTGAACATTATGATCCAATGTGAATTAACTGACATTAACTTAACAGTTATATTAACAGTATCTCAACAACTAATACATATTCCTATCAAGTGCTTATGGAGCATTCATCAAGACAGACTGAGTACATAATGGTCTCAACAGATTTCAAAGATTTGAAATTTTAGAGTATATTTCCCAACCACCCTAGAATTAAATTAAAAATAAATGATAGTAAAATAGTCAGAAAGGCCCCAAATATTTAAAAATTAACCATTTCAAAATAATTAATGGGGTAAATAAGAAATCACAAGGAAAATTAAAATCATTTCAACTATATAATAGCCACAATATAATGAAGTTTTGAAATGCATCATTAAAACTCAGATGAAAATGTATAGACTTAAATGCTTGAAATAGAAAAGGTTTAAACCAGTTATCTAAGCTTTTACCTTCAGCTAAAAAAAAAAAGAAGTAAATTAAACCCAAAGTAAGCATAAGAAAGGAAAGAATTGGGGTGAGAAAAATAATAGAAAATCTAATAGCCCAATAACAAGAGCAGAAGTCAGTGAAGCAATGGAATCAATAGTATTTATTTAAAAATATCAGTAAAATACACAAATCTCTATTCATAAACTGTTCAACAAAAATAAGAGAAGTTGTTATCTAAGATTGTGTAGTGAAAAAGACATTGCTACAGATCCTGTGTACATTAGAAATATAACAAAGAAATAATATGAACAATTTCATGCTAATTCCAAATTGCCAAAACTAGCATAAGAAAAGAAAATTCCATAGCCCAATATCAGTTTAAGAAATTGCATTTGTAATTTAAATCTTTCCCCAAAGGACCTTCTCAAATGGCTATACTAGAATATATAGAATATATATTCTATCAAATATTCAGGAAGAACTAATATCAATCTTACCCAAATTCATTCTATATAAGGCCAAGATGACCCTGTACCCAAACCCAAAGATAGTACAAGAAAACTCAACTTTATGAACCAATATTTCCCATTAACACAGACCCAGGTGTTTTAAGTGACAGATTAAATCTAGTATATATGAAATGGTTAACAAAATGTGAGAT